ATGAGCTCAAAAGCACCATACCAAAGTAAATTAAACGAATTCGATCACAATGTACTAAATGTCGTTCAATTTTAAGCTATGCATGGTAATTGAGGTGTCATCAAAAATTAGGAATCTTATCATGCACAATCATAATTTGGAGAAATTCAATTTTTCGAACACTACCACTAATTACTCTATTTAATTTTGAATATAATTGGATAGTTTTTGCTTGATTCGATTCAGTAGATATTTTTGAAATCAGAAATATTAAAAAACGAAACAGGTTAATCGAGAACTTTCTTTATAAGAAAGAAAACTCTGCACATCTCTTAAGAAGCTGTTCGAATGAGGGCATATCGAATATAGTTTCATTGAGCAGTAAGAACAATGGTCAACATATCAATTTTCAATTTAGCAGAGTAAAAACACACAATCAATTCGAATTCTTAGGCTGTAATGAAAATTGGTCAGTTTCATGAACGACCTATTTGGTTTTTTATTTGTCTAATTTCTTTACCGTCCATAAATAGATCAGAATGAAGTCGATATTTAATGAAATACTATTAGCATTCATCAAAAATAGTTAGTCGGAGAAATCTTTACAAACTAGTAACAAAAATCTTCTCGATACTATTGTAAAACAAAACAGTTCACGAAATCGACGCAAATTTTATCCAACGACCCACTAATTGATTGAAAATGGTAATACTCTTCTCTTAGAAAATATTAAATTTCCCTTGGGATGCTTCGACAACGATAATTTCTTCCCCAGCCTATGATCGACATGGTAGAATGTACTCACACAGAGGTACACGAGCAAAACATTTTTTTTTCCTCTTCTGTTCTTTGCTCTTGATAGTGAAGCAGAAGAAAAAGCCAACTACGCAATTTCTCTCGGTACTCTCGGCATCCGAGCAGCAAGAGAAAGAAACAAAAGAGTAAACATGTTTCGAATATATATTTAACATGGTAACGATTTGATGAAGGTCACTTTTTTGTTGGATGGCCATGAGAAAAACTAACATTTACCAACGAAGAGTATTGCCGTTCTCAATCAGTCCGATAGAGCCTTTCTAGTCAATTGAAGTCGATCTAAAGAAACGCATTGTAGAAAAACACTAAAAAAAAACAACTACAATTTCTCAAAGATGAATTTTTCTTTTTTGAAAGTCTAAACTACAACACATGTCTGACGACCTTGATCGTCTATCTAATACAATAAAAAGTGTTGGTAGGTTAGAGAAAAGAAAAAAGTTAGTATGACTAATTCTGTGCCAGAAAAAGCCGTTCTTGCACAACTCGTCTCTAGTTTAACCCATAATATAGAAAAAAAAAAGCGCTCTGCGATTAGATTTTTTTCTTGTTCTCCACATGCATAGAACGAGCAAAAATACGCAAAAAAAATATTTGCATTATATTTATTCTTATTCTGCTTGAAAGAAGTAGTAGTCCTTTTTTTTCGCAGTCTGTCTTTTACATCAACTACTATTTTTTCTTACTATTAGCGCTTTTAAAATGAGCACAGTGAAATCGATTTTAAACTTGGTCAAAACTGATCATGCTCATGTAAAGCAAGCTTATGAGGTTTGATTCTTCAAGGTTATTTTAAATCAAAACGTCATTGATTTTTCAAACTTTAGAATTATATTTCATCGGAAAACAATCTTGAAGAACAAAACCGTTGGGCTAATGAATTTCGATGGGAACTTGCTCGAATTATCGTAGCAGAAGAGCTCGTTGTCTATCCAGCTTTCGAAAAGCATTTGGGTGACGAGGGAAGGCGTATAGCTCATGAAGATCGTGCTGAACATCATAAGGTAAAGTTCTCTTTTATTCTTCTCACAAACATTGTTGTCATTTCAAATAGATCAAAGAGCTCTTGAAAAAGCTCGAAACAACATCGGTGTCCGATCCAGATTATCGTGCAACATTCGACACAGCCAAAGACTTTTTAATGTACCATATTGCAGGGTAGAGATACACTCATTCTTTTTCTATCTTTCTCTCTATTTTTCTTTTCCGATTACAGTGAAGAAGAAAATGATTATATTAAACTCGAAAATGCAATCACTGCTGAAGAGAATGATTCAATTGCTCGATCATACGAGCGAACAAAAATGTTCGTTCCTACCCGGTTTGTAGTTCTCTTTCATTCTCGTTTTTTATTCATCTATCTCACTTATGTAGTGCTCACCCAAGTGCACCTGACAAGCCGCCTTTCGAAACTGTTGTTAGTCTTATTACGGCTCCAATTGACAAACTTCGAGATTTGTTCAGCAAATTTCCTGATCACAAATGAACTCGATCAATACTTAAAGCGATAATTATAGACTCTAGCCTGTCTGCGCATTTTTTTTTTCAATAAAATTCATTTTCCAATAAATCAGCTGTTTTTTTAGCATTTTATGGAGCTGTATCTCGTACTGCAAATAAGTTGATGAAATATTCTTTATATCACTAAATTGCATGCGATGTGTGTATGTGATTGTCGGTTTTGATCTGGTCTTCTCTTCAGGCACATATACACTCACACACCTTAGTCTGATTGAAGTCTGTCTTTAGAATTGAAGTATTAGATTATAATGTGATTAAATAAAGATGACATGAAAATCAATTTCAAGCAAAACAAAAAACCCATTTCTTACCACTTTTCTCCCCTTTTTAGTTTAGTTTCTTTTTTCCCTTTTATCTTGCGCCAATAAAAGCCTTCTCTAAACAATATCAACTATTTAAACAGACTGTAGGTAAAAATGATGAAGGTATCTATTTATAGAAAAGGTCGAGACGAAAAAATACCGAACGCGAGAAGTTTGAAGATGCCATAAATAGACAATTTCTTTCAGGATGAGTATGGATGTGGTGGAATCTTTTAATATCACTTGAAGAAGAAAGGAATGATTAGAAACGTGATAAAATAAAATCGAAGACAAAGAAGTGAGAACGTATTTATGGAAACTGACCGAGATTTATTCGTGAAAAATTTATTTCACTAATTTTCTTCAATCTATTTCTTCATTGATTCATCTCGAATTTTATCTAGAAAAGGTTTTAACCAATCGATAGTATCTGAAAAAAACATAAAAGTGCGGTTTTAAGATTGACTATGTTTTAAAATTTAAAATTTTGTATTTAAGAAAAAATATTTTTAAAAAGCAAAATTAGCAGTTTTTAGAGCATTCACTTTCCTATCAATAGAGAAGAGAATAATAGTATATTGTCAAAAATTGATATGTTCCATGAAGATTATGGCTGCTTAAACATATCGAATTGAAAAAATTCTGCTGTATGAAGAATAAATTGTTACATGAATACATGTCTCAAACTTTTTCTCATAATTAAAAGAAGAAATATCTAAAACAAATATCATATCATATAAAATGATAAATTATTTAAAAGGTTATTCTTGAAATGAACTAATCCTTCCTAGAACTTATCAATAGAACATTAAATTAGTTTTTATTATTTTCAAACAATCATTTTCAAGTAAATATATCATCTATCTTTTTATACGATTTAAAATGAATAATTATCATGTTTGAATAGAAACTGAACTATTATTATTCAGTTTTTTTTTAAATTTGAAATTTTTTTATTTGATATAGGAAACAAATGTAGATCATTAATCCAGAAATGTTACTATCTGTTAGAATGACTTTTATATTTTGTTTGTCATAAGTTTCACACTTTTTTATTCCAGTGCTCTATTATTTTTTATCATAATGATAAAATTCTGATCTATCAAGATGTGGGTGTCAATCTTCATTTCGACCACACTCACACCCGTTTTCGACCATTAATACTTTCTAGAATAACGAACAATAAAATTGTCGCAATCGTTATTAGAGATATTAATTTTTGACTTATTTATCGTGAAAAAGAAGAACATACAATATCTGATTCACAATTAAATACAAGAGAACGATCTATGATTGAACTTGGAAAGAAAAACAATATATATTAATTGTGAAAATGTTCTCACATGCTATTATACACGAAGGCTTTTTTTCTTATCTTATGAACTGTAAGAATGAGTTATAAGAACTTCATTAAGGAATTTGAAAATGAGTGTTTATTCTGAATACATATATTTAATTTTAAGAACAGTAGTTGTAAACTATTATGTAAAATTTTTATAGAAACTATGCTAAATATTTTTTCTAGAGTTATATCTTTAATATCTTATCAATGCTTACTCATGTTTTCCGATATTGTCTTGTATATCCACTTATCCAACAATCACTTTCAATAGTTCCTAACAAGTCTATATTATATACATCAGTCATATGTATTTGCACCGCCGGCACTGGTCAAGTTGGTTCATATTTGACATAAAATTTACTTGAAATTCGTCAGACAATACCATCAATAACAGCTGAAAATAAGCATCTAAAAGAATAAAGAAATATTTTATCATATTATTTCTTTATAATTCACTCATTGCACGTAGTCAAAATATTCCAGATGAGATAACATTAGAAAACATTTTTTTTGTACTAAAGATTCTTCATGACGATATTATTGTAATATGACAAATAAAATATTTCGTAATTCACTATAAAAAAAAAACATTTCAAATAAATGAAATTGTTGTGTCATCAAAAATGCAAACCATATTCAACGTTTGACTATGACGACGTCGATTAAAATGGTTCATTATCTGCCTTCGATAATATTTGATATAATAGGGTGTGGGTGTGGATGAAGACAGTATCTATACTCACACCCAAAATAAGAAATAAGAGAATAAATATTCTTACTAATAATGTTGGTTTTGTTGGAAATAATTCTCAATTTTTCTTGGTAATTTCTTTGAATATTCTAACTTTTTTTTCTTGATCACTTTCACACTGCAATTCTCTGATTAATTTTGTTACTTCTTCGAAATAAACGACCAGTATATAACTTCAATCTGGTGTACAAAATCAAAATTTAATTTTTAAATTAAATCTAACTTCCTTTAGCATTGGTACACTCTATATTGAATTCTAGTGTTCATCTGTTACCGATGTTGCTAGTAGAAATATTTCTTTTGATTTCGGTCGAGAATATAAATTTTCTTGCTCTTTCACATGCTGTAGGACAATTAATTACTTTGGCAAGTGCTAAATGATTTCATAATTTACGATAATGATATCGATTATACATTGGTCGATTTAAACTGAATTAATTTGTTCAAATAGAACAAAAAAAAATTAAAGAAAAAAATCACCTAATAACTATTGTATAATAATTCCATTGATTCATTATAATTTTACGTTAATTGTAATACTTCAGTTAATCAAGATAAAATTTCGAGCACGAACATAATCAGATGAAAACAGAAGATTTTAAGTTCTTTAATTAATTTATCTTACAGTTTGAGTTATTCACGAGTTATTTAAAGATATTATTTATATCTAAATAAATTTTTATTAACAAATTTCAATTAACAAAAAAAAAAAATCTTTTTGACAGAAGAGTAAATACATTTTTAATTATTATTCGTTTTAATCTGAATAATAAAAATAATTATTCGAAAATTTTGATTAAATACCAAACTTGTTCAATAATAGATAATCGTGATTTGTTGTTGATGAACGAAGCATTGTTTTATTTTACAAAAATCACATATTTCATCATTATTTAATAAATGAAGATCTGTATCAGGATCATCTAATCATCAAACTTTAAAAAGAAAATCTCATTAAATATTATTTGTAAAATGAAATAAAATTTTTTATTATCTTGTAATAGATCTATTTCTACATGTCGAATTGAATAATTTGCATTATTTGATAGATCAGAGATTTCATAAATTATAGTGGATCATCGAAGTCATTTACAACGATCCATAAGTAAACGAATAAAAATAATTTGAGATGAAACTAAATAAATTATTTATTTTTGAAAGTTTTCAAAGAAAAATGAACGAGATAATATTTGAAATTTATCGAATAAGATTAATTCATTTTCATCAGATAAACATTTGTAATATTTGAGTAATGATGAAACGACTAATGAAAAATTTGTCCAAATAATATTGATTTAATGAAAAACTATTTCCGATATTTCTATTGCTCTTCGTAAAAACTCGAAAAGCGTCCTTCCTATGTTTTCCCTATTATTGTTGACGCTGATAAATTTTAATTGACTTATTTTTTCTTGTCTTTAATTGACATTATTACGTTTCTTACGTAAGAAGCTTCTTATTATGTTCAGTCGAAAGCAGTCATATTGATGACTGTCTTATCAATTTAGTTAAAAAAGCTGGTTAGCGCAGCTCCGTTGGAGCTGAAATGTGGAACTCACATATATCCTTAAATCTTAATATTCTAATTAGACTTCTGCGTGACCATGATTTTTTAGTCACGTCACGGTCACGAGCTGCCTGGTCACGGTCACGTTCATAGTCATGGAGTTTTTTTCGAAACTAGTCACGATCACGTCACGGCCACGAGCTGCCTGGTCACGATCATGGTCATAGTCACGGAAATTTTTCGAAACTAGTCACGGTCACGTCACGGTCACGAAAATTTTGGTTTACTAACTGAATTTTTGTGCTACAAAATCAAGATTTATATTGATTTCGCAGATTTTCTTTGTAATAAAACGCAGAAAACACGTAAATCAATTAAAATCTTGATTTTTTTTCACAAAAATTAGATTTCTAATCTCAAAATTTTTCACCATTAAGTCACGATCACGAGCTATTTGGTCACGGTCACGATCCCAGTCACGACAATTTTTCGAAAACTAGCCACGGTCACGAGAGGCCGTGACCGTGACCGTGACCATTTTGCAGAAGTCTAATTCTAATACATCATATGTAAACTGAAAAATTTCGTGTACACTGTAGTTGTTTTCATCGATAATCAATGAGAAGAGCGAGACTTTGTTATTTATTTCTACATTTAAAACAGAACATTTTTTTTTGTTTGAGAGTGCCCTATTTTTATTTTGTATTGTTGTTATTCGCTCATTATCTTTCTTTTTTTTTAATTCGTTTTTCGTAATTCAACATTCTTATTATTATAATCATTGAATTAATTGGCAAATAAATCTGTTTTACATATTCATGATATCTACAGAAGATCTTACGCACTATTATATATATTAATCAGCTCAAAAACAATGATGTTGATTATCTTTCAAAATTATAACTTGATGAATTTTTCAAAAGAAACTACTTAAGTAGTTTTGATGCATTTTAATCGTGAAACGCCTCTAAACGCATGCAAAATTTGAAATGCGTTCAAAAATTCATATGGTGAACGCATTTCAGTGAGTTTGCAGGCAGTTTCAATTTTGAGACGCGTTTAA